CATATGATGATGATGATGTTGATTTGTTGATTGGTAATGATGGTACGAATTGTGAATCGGGAAAGCGTTTGAGAGGAAATAAATATCGGATTCTTTCTTCGCATTTGTCGTAATGCTTGCCCAAGAGTATTTTTCGTACAAGGTTTCGAAGCGAACTACATCTTTCCGCAGTAGGAACTGAGTTTGCTTGTCAAAAAGCCTACTGTCGTTGAACTGGTTGGCTGCTGCTCTCTGTAAATGGATACACCTTGTAGGAATCTGGCAGCCATTACCATACAAATGGCCTTAACTTAGTCTGCGATTTATTACAGTCATACTACGTCGTTCCCAGAATTTAAAGGAGGGTTCCCTGAATGATAGTCTTTATCCAGTTTTAAATTGCCTTTTTTTCTTTAAAACATGTGGCCCTGCAAACTTGACAGCTGTTGTGTGTTATTCCACTTTTCATTGAAGGGGCAGTGTTTATGCAACTGAGATATAACACGTAATTTATTGATATTGGAGTATGTTAAGTGTGAGAAATTGTTAATTATATAATTTTTGCGGGCGATCAGGTGGCTGTTGTTGGTTTCGTTTCACTGCCAGTCTGAAGTGGTTGAGTTCAGTACTTAGTGTTATTATACGATTAAATATACTTGTCATGTTCACTACAAGTGCGCGTTGTTTATTTCTTGCTTGATCTATAACAGCTGTCTGATCTGTCCAGTTGTGTGCAAGTAAAGTATTCAGTCTTATGTACACCCCCATCTTCGTGGCATGGTGTTGAATGAAGCAGAGGACAACGCTAACCTATACATCAGCATTAATGTGCTCACAGGTGAAATTACTATTAATGAGATTGTCTCACCTCCTTTTAATGTGTTGGCAGCATGCAGGATAATGTACCTGGTATTTATTGTTGGTTTCCTCTTGTTAGACTTACTAGAGCGATCTCTCAACATTTTTGATTCACTGCTATTCGCATGCATCCAATTTTCATCCAGGAACACTACCTGATATCGAACCTTGAAATTCATATTTTCAAAATAACTCATTAGAAAACTAATATGACTAGCAGCAAAAGGGCTTCTCTAAAAGTCTATTAATTACAAATAAAAATTTAAGGTACTAATATTAAATTAAAATGCTTTTAAACAGTATGAAGCAAATAAAATTACATTGAAACAGGAGGTGGCGGAATAGTTAGTGACTGGAAATGTGCATTTCTGTGCTTAGTGCAGATATTAATTTGTTTTCGTAAGGATGTCAATAGGCCAAACTTTCTAAAAAAGATCTAGCTATGAAGTAGGAAACAAGATTTTTTAATGGTATAAATTTTCTTATATTTTGAGTACACTTTATGCCAAAAGACTTATAAGATGAACTTGGGGCTGCGAATGCTGGCAGGAAGGAGACGTTTTTATTGATTCCGTAAGTTTTAATTAATTTTACCTACTTCCGAAGAATTATACGCGAAGCCTGTGACCGTCCGTCTCGTCTCTCTACTAAATTTGCCTTCACGTCATTTTGAATTCAGCAACGCACCCGCTGGTACTGCATGAAATAAAACATTTCAAAGCAAACGCCAGTTAGCTTATATGGCACTAGGGCGAGAACTTTGTTTAATGCTTTTCCTCATTACCACCAGTCCTTGAAATCAGCCCCTGAAGCAACGCTTAAATTATGTTTCGATCATTTCATTCCTAAGAAATACAGATATTGATCTATTCGTACTAAGATGAATTCTGAACACCTGTGCTTATAAATTTCTTGCAGTGTTACGTTCTGTGTGCGAAATCCAACCTGTTCATGCCAACTGTTTTGACATGTCGGGAAAAACTAAAGCTTATCTCTCAGTATCAGAATGGCACTGTTTTCAGAGCAATCTTCGTGAAGGGGTGTGTCATGACCAGGTATTCAAGTAACGTGATTGTTTCCTAGTACTTTCACTGAAGTTGCTATTTACGGACCAAAGATATATATCTCTTCGTTTATAGACCCCCCTATAATTGTAAAAATAGATGTGACTGAAAGGAACCGAACTTTTTTACACGTGGTGGTGACATGTCAAATCTGACAGTAGAACCTATTGTATTCTGAAACAATTATAACGGTTAAAAGTGTCAGTTAACATTTTAATGGAAGTTTAATTTCAGTCAACTATATTGTTTATGTATATTGGGCTATGGTCTATTTAAATGTCTTATCGGGTTTTCACTGCGACGAGTATAAAGACTTGAAGATGTCTTTGTCTTGTGGGATTTTGTGCCGTGTAGTATGGTAGAAATGGACTGACGTTTCAGATGTGTTTGCTCTCTACATCATTTATCGCTCTGATGATGGAGGCAGTGATCACCAGACTGTACGGCGCTGTATCCCAAAAGACAGTCATCTTCATATGGTCCACTTACATTACCACTTCTTGCTGTCAGAATGGGGCCTGAGCTCAGCGTTGTGACTGTCTACAACTCGATGTCGATGGCAAAGATCTACCCTAGGATGAGAAATGTGTTGGTCTGCGCATTGTGTTGTATTTGTGATTGTAGTACCAACTTCTGCTCGTAGAAAAGTAACATTTTCTCGGCTGTTTAAATAAAGCATTCTTTTCTTTTTGCAGTGACAGCATCAAATCCTCCACAGCGGCCATGGATTCCACTCACCCGGCCGAATAGGACGAGACCTACGTGTGAGTAAAATACAACTTCACTCTGTGGTTATTGTTGGTTTAGTGCGTCAACATAAAGTAGGTGTTTGCTGCTTTGTCTGTGATGCGCCAGAAGTGTATTCTTTGAATTACTATGTATTGAAACGGAATAGATGAAATTTCAGGTTCTTTTGGGAAGTTGCACCTTGTAGTCTCGTAGAAACTGACCGACGTTTCGTAGGTGTTAACTGTCTCCATTAGGGTGATGGTTCCTGTTGATTGAGGTAGTAAACACCTCTGAAACTTCAATTTCTATGAGGCTACACATCCAGACGATGGTCATCTTCGTATTCGCCTGAAATCTCACTATGTTTTTAGAAATTACAAGATCAGGCGCATCATGTTTTGAGGAACTTCGGGCATTTCATGTTAAGTGCTTGAACAATTTTTTGAATTTACCAACATGGCCTACGGGTTTACTATGTGATGAATTTTAATTCTAATTC